TATATGTATTTATATATATATATATATATATATATATATATATATATATATATATATATGATGGATAGACACACACACACATGCCCACACACACACACACACACACACACATATATATATATATATATATATATACATATATAAATATATATATATATATATATATATAAATGTATATATATATATATATAAACATGTATACATAGACATACACACACACACACACACATACATACATGTAAACGCACAAACGCGCACAAACACATGTACTTACAACACACAACACACACAGACACACAAAAACACAAGCCATACATACATATATAGATAGATAGATAGATAGATAGATAGATAGATAGATAGATATATATATATATATATATATATGTATATATATACAAACCAAGTACTCAGACCCGCCATGGCCCTAGAATATACAGATTAAAACTTATCTCACCGACATTCATTATATCATCACTCATAATAACCCCCCGAACACCAGCAATCCTACGGTACAGACCTAGTCCCTTCATGGCCTTTCTCAGCGCCAAAGCATCGGCCTTCGGGTCAAAGGGCGTGTGTGCCTTGATAGTGGGTCGTTGTTTCTTAGCAGCAACTGCCGCTACAGCTGCCCCTGCAGTCACACCAGCAGCCGCATACGGACCGGGGTGTCCTGGCTGAGGTGAGTGGGGCACACTACCAATGTGTGTGGTGGGATGTTTTATGCAGGCTTAGAGGAAAGGTATGTGGATGAAGGTGCACAAAAGATCACGACATTCAGGTGAAAGGTAACGACCGAGTAAGGATTATAATGGATTCTACACCACCGTTGTACAAGTTATTGCGAAAAGAGGAGCATACAGTGTCTACAGAGTGATCCATTGCAAATGCGTCGAAGCTCTAAAAATCTCGTGAAGCATGTCCACAAACCACAGCGCCAAGCGGACGTACAGTCGTATATAAAGATCAAGTACACATCCATGCATACCAAATCACCAAACACATGTGTATCACCCGCAAATCCCCCCCCAAAAAAAATATGGTTTACCCATGTCCTGGTTGACCTTGAGGTGGCCCATACATCGATGGGCTGCCAGCAGGAGGATAGCCAGACCCCTGTGCTGGTGGGTATCCGGTCGGGGATGTGGGAGGATACCCTCCCGGTGCACCGCCGGGTGGAGCCCCGTACCTACAGAATAAACAAAGATCCAGGATAGTATGAAATGCTTATATACATTTGCAGCAAGAAAAGCCGGAGTGTAACTTGGTTGTTTGTACGGATAAGCTAGAAGCTGATGGGAGTGGTGTAAAACCTAGGTGTCAATAAGAATGCATCGAAAGGAACAAAAAGAATCGCACTGAAATATGATGTCACACGCAATCTTCAGCTCACAGCTCACATACGGTGACTGGGCTCGGTTTTCGAAGGCTTGTGGCGGCATGGACTGTGTGGGTGGTGGCATACCCTGTGAGGGATACACTTCACTGCCAGCGGGTGCTCCGTACGGACTAGGAGGACCACTGTAGAGAGCAACGGGATGCAGTATTGAGTCACATTCAAGCGATCATTTGACATACTTGCTTGTAGATCATAAGCGAAACAACAATATAACTGCATATATATGAGCACCGCGAAGCCCTCGATGCCAGTTTGAATACCTTCCATAAGCGCCGGGGGGTCCAGGCGTGGGTTGTCCATAAGCAAAGGACTGTGACACAGCGGGCGGCACCTGCTGCCCAAAGCCTCCGGGCGCACCATGCGGCGAGGGTGGCGCAGCCCCGTAAGGACTGGATGAGAATATGAGGTAGTGCACAGTGTGACCAATTTGTGAAGCAAGATTGGTATGGTACAGAAGACGTACTGACGTTTATGAACCGCGGATGTGTACAAATTGATTAAAAGCTACGGGATGGAACTTCCCCAGCGTTCATACTTGTGTGTGTATATGATCATATGATCAGAAGTACGAAGAAACCACTTGTACGAAGTCGTGTTCTTGAACCTTTCGTATGCGTGGTACAATAAACAGATTTGGACATAACAAGGCAACGTAGACAAGGTGCTCATGTACCAGTGATACAGGTGCACAAATACAATTTTTAAACAAAACCGGATATTTAAAATTCGGTTTTTAAAGTATACATGATCATCACGGATATAAATGTACATAATATATGTAAATATTTGTGTGTATGTGTGTTTGCGCGTGTGCGTATGTGTGTACGTGTGTCTGCGTGTGTATGTATGTGTGTGTGTTTGTGTAATATGTTCATATATATATATATATATATATATTTATATATATATATATATAAGTTATATATATATGTACATGTATATATATATACGTATACGTATATA